GGAACTCCCAGCCTCTGGAACTCCCTCCCAAGAGCAGCTAGGCTGTTTCTTCTCCTTGCTGCCCATCAGCCGGTGAGCAATGGCCCATTAATTCAAATGTACTTTTCACAACTGAATGGCTGCCGAGGAAAGAACGTTCAAGGGCTGATTTCTGTGCTTCTCATTGATCTCCTTTTGTTTTTGCACCGTTCCTTTATACGTTTTATTTCTATTCCCTTTTTCCCTTACAGAACATCAGGCAGAGTTTGACATGAACTTTAAAAAACAGATACTGCCTTAAAAAAAACCCCACACTGAATTTCAATATTAAAATAGTATTAAATAAACTACAACATGGAAAAGAAACAGGGCGTTATCATGATGTTAAAAGCAAACTGGAAAGACAAGAAAAAGATGGATGAGGCCCACCTTGTCCTGCCAACAGAAGGACATCAGGGAAATGACCCTATAGATCAGCAATGGCGAACCACAGCTGGCACACGGAGCCCTCTCTGTGCGCACGCAAGCCATAGGTCGCCGGATCACTACTCCCTCCCCCCCCTGCGCACAGCCAAACCTGGGAAGGCAGTTGCAGCTGCAGTGCCAGCACTTCGACAGGAGGATCTGGGGCAGCTGGCGCTGGTGGCGGATCCGGAGCGGGGTCTCGAGGCACCTCCGTGCCTGGGATTCCCCTTTCCGCCACCACTTCCGGTTCCACTGCCATAACACGCCATCTGCTAGTCCCCCCCATCCCACCCCCAGTTTGGGCACGTGAGCCCAAAAACATTCGCTGCCACTGCTATAGATCATTAAATCCAGATCCTGTCGAGGAGGCACCATCGGGAATTGAACTCCTAACCAAACCACTGAGCTATCCAGTAGTTAAGGTAAGCAAGAGATTTAAGGAGTGTTTTTAGCTACTCCCAAGCTCTCCCTAGTGAGCTTTCATGACTGAACGGGGTTCCAGACCGAGGCCTCCTGACTCCTAGTCCGCCACTCTGTCCACTATCTTGGTTTAAATTTAATTTCATATCACTGTTAACTTCCACAGTTTTATTTGGGTTCAAGTTTATTTTTCTCTTAATGCAATGCTCCGATGTGGATTTAAAAAAAACACCGGAAGTCATATTAGCTCCAAAGTGGGATATAAATAGCAAAGAATTCATAAAGCACTGAGGTGGGGTTGCATTATCAGCAAACATCACTGGTTGAGAATCAATGCAATCGGTTGAGATATTTTAAGTTCCCTTTGAAGATCAAACTGCCCCGGTCAGCCTCGAGTGGGCACAGGCAGGGTAATGTTTAATACAACAAGGCAGTGGGGAAACATCATAAATTTCATGCACTTTTCCCTCCGCAAGGACATGACAGAGGCCACTTCCAGCCAATCGGATGTTGACATGACTGACTAACTGGATAGTTTTGCTTTCGCTGTTTCAGGCTATGGTGTGGTGGTGGTTGCTATATTAAGAGGTGGAAAGTGGAGCGAAACACAACAGCTAATCTGGAAATTTATAAAGATGTGAATTATATATATATATTTGAGGCTTGGGGAGGGGAGTTCTGAGCTGAGCTTGCTTGATTGCTTTTCCGAATGGAAATAAAGCATTTCTGGCTCGAACGTCTGATATGCATGCACTTTTCTGTGGGTGGGGGAAGTTTGGCTTCGATAGCATCAGCCTAGCAATATGATGCATGGGGGGGGGGAAGGCACACTTCGACAAAGCACGCAACTTCTAGTTGAGCTGGGAAGAGGGGGAAGGAAACAGCTTACAGCAGATAAGCGATTCGGCGGTCTAGTTGGCTCCCGGAGTGTGAAAGCAGTTGACAACGCTGCCAAGAGGCTCAACCACCATCACAACAACAAAAACAACAACACTCAATCACATTCCACAGTTACCAGGCAGATGGAGAGAGCACACTCAGCCTAAAACACCCGGGGAGAGGGACTGCAAGGAGCTCCCTCGGCCAGCTTTTACTAGAGGAACAAATGCTATGAGCAGGGAAGGGGGTCAAGCAACAGCGGAGGTGCCTCTAGCCAGTTGGGGCACAACCCGTTCAGCAAGCCCGTTCTGTTAGTGCTCCGTTAGTACTGTTGAGTGTGGGCTCCTGACATCGCAAGCCTCAAACTGGCAGTTCCGGTGTTGACAAAGCTAAGCCTCTGAGGAAGTGGAAAAGCAGCCCAGAGGACAGAAAGGAAGTCACAGCGCTCCAAGACAAAGGGTCAAACCATTAAATCCCATATTGCCTGGAGCCTCAGAATATCTGGAACGCTGGACCCTCTTCCGGTGGAGGTTTGGAAACACAGGTTGGCCCATCACCATCCAGGGATGCTTTAAGCTGTCCGTGCCTGCACTGGTGGAGCCTCGGACTCCGTGACCCTTGGACTCCCTTCCAGCTTCACCACATCCTACAATTACTCAAAGGCAAACCTGCAGAACTCTAGTTCTTAGGTCTTTTTGCAAATGCTAACAGATTTCAGTCAGCAGAAGAAGACCTAACGCTAACAGATTTCAGTCAGCAGAAGAAGACGTTGAAGGTTCTTTTGCATACACAGAAAATACCCTTCGTTGTGATCTCAACGTTCACACAGTATCTCCACACAGGCAAGAATGGAGACACAGGTCCGATGCTCCCAGGAAATGCCAAGACACCATGAGCTTGGTCTTGACCAGTGGTTCTTAGCCTTTGTTACTCGGACCAAGACACCATTTATTTATTTATTTATTTATTGGACTTATATACCGCCCCATAGCGCTACAAGCACTCTCCATGAGCTTGGTCTTGACTAAGTGAGAGGTACCTCTTCTACGGAGGGGACTTTGGGATTTTTCAGACTATTAATCACATAATCCCCCATTCTGGGAGCTCTATCTGACAGACAGACAAGTCACAGATCTCTAGATGTGGCTTCACTTTGACTGTCAGGAAAGCCTAGCTCTGCCTAGCGTCCGGTTCAGAAAGAAAGCTCCCGGCGAGCACCGAGGCAGGAACAGCAAGCTTGGGTGTAGTTAGGCATAGCTCAGCCTTTCAGTTTCCAGTTGAGGCCTTTTCTCCCAGCTGAGCTATGCTTATCTGTCCGTCTGTCAGGTAGACCTCACAGAATGGGAAATTATGGGGTTTGTAGTCCAAGAAATCCAGGAGACTGAGGGGAGAGATGATAGCACTTTTCGAATACTTGAAAGGTGGAGGTGCAGAATCTGTTCTTGATCATCCCAGAGTGCAGGACATCTAAGAATGGGCTCAAGTTAGAGAAAGCCAGATTTAGGCTGAATATTAGGAAAAACTTCTTATCTGTTAGAGCAGTACGACAAGGGAACCCATGACCTTGGGAAGTGGTGAGTACTCCAACACTGGAGGCCTTCGAAAGAAAATTGGACACCCATCTATCAGATCTGCTTTGATTTGGATTCCTACATTGAGTAGAGGGTTGGACTTGACAGCCTTATCGACCCTCTGCAGCCCACTTATTCTAGGGTCTGGTAAACACTGGGCGAGGGAGGCCAGATGGTTCATGGGACTAGTTTTGGGATTGGACTTGACAGCCTTATCGACCCTCTGCAGCCCACTTATTCTAGGGTCTGGTAAACACTGGGCGAGGGAGGCCAGATGGTTCATGGGACTAGTTTTGGGAGAAGGTGGCATCGTGCACTCATACATTCTTTGGGGGGACACATTTGGCTGCCTGCAATGAGTGCCAACATTTTGAATGGCGAAGATCTTGAACTGGCTGCCTTCCATGGCCTCCCTTCCCGATCCACATTAAAACCACTCGATTGTCACAAGTGCAGGGAAGAGGAAGTAAGACGAGGCTCCTTGGCCCCAAACCACCTTGTATGTGCTTTACAAGAGTTGAAAGCACAGACACCTGGGCAGCCTTCAAAACCATGTGCCAAATGCATGGTGTGCACCAAGATGCCGGAGGTAGCCTTATTCCCACTCATGGCCCCCGAAATGCACTCATGTTCACTCATTTTCTATTTGACAGCCGAAACACCTCTTGCCACAGACAACCTGATCAAAACTCTCCAAGGACACGAAGTCCAACATCTACAGAAAAACATGTTCTCGAGTGGGATTGGAGGAAGTTCCAGCTGAAAGGCATTCAGGGAAAGAAACCCACAGTCAGATCAGGGTGGCTCGCCTGAATAACAACAACCCAGAGCAGGTTTGTGAGTTTGTACCGGCAGCTTTGCCAGGGCGGCCTCAGCTCTTTACCTTGGCCCTGACGCTTGGCCCACGTTTAGGAATTCAACCACATGTTAAGTTTTGATAAAGGACACAGGAAGCAGACTAGGGATGCCAAAGAGCAGCAGGAGGGCGGCGTGCATCGAAAGCGGGCACCTCGGCTGGCGAGTGTGGCTCTTCTGTGCTTTGGAAGGAGGTGTCGAAGCCGATCGGTGGCCAGGAGAGCCCCACGAGTGTTGGCCAAAAAAGAGAGAGAGAGAGAAGGCCCACCTATCTGTGAAGGAACTCATTCTGGGGATGTGGAGGCACAAGGGAGGACTGTGAGGATCTGCAGGGACGGGTCCCGTTCCAGGAGCTCAAGGGCTCTGCTCGCTCCCAGGCCCTGCCCCACTCGCCCCTCCTTACCAACATCTTTCTGCCAAAAAGGCTTTTTAGAAAGAGGGGGCGGGGAAACCCCTTCACATCTTCTGGTGTGCAATTTTAAAGCACTGGCACTGGGTGGGAGTGCTAAGGACCCCCAAAGGCCCGCCTAGGTTCTCGAATGGGTGCCATGGGAGCTTCTAAACAATTTTTGTTTAACAAATAAATATATGGTGGTGAGGGGAGGTTGGAGACTACATGGGGGCTCCTGGGAATTGTGTTTGTGGGGGGGCATACTTTGCCCACCCCTGCTCTATCTGCAAGCATCCTTACAACCAACGCTACAGCAGTATTGGGTGCGCCTCAAAATAAGGCAAAATTGCCCCTCCCAGGCATCATGAGGAGACCCTTTGAGCGAAGACGGGATTGTAAAAGCATATTTAAAACTGGGCTCTGGAGGGGCTCTGGCTCACCTCAGGTGCTGAGAGGCCACAGAAACGGTCTCGTGGCACATGTTTTTCAAGGGCCCAGAAACACCTGGAGAGCATAAAAGTGCCAGCGGAGGTGCAGCTCAAGAAAACCACTTGACATCTTAACACGTCTGTCACTGGGCTCTTAATTTCACTTGAAGACAAGGTGTGTGCATAAAATGGCTCTCTGTATGCCAGTTTTCAGAACTAGACAGTGTGAGAATTCTCATACCCAGACACTCGCAGGCCTGGCGTCCCTAGTGTGCAAAATGAAACAGACGGTATAGTGTTTATAATTAGTGCCTGCGTGTGCCCTTTCCTCACCAAATAAAAAGGCACTTCGGAGGAGAAGCTTCAGTGTGCCTGACTTTCATTTTCCTCGTACTTGCAAATGTTCTCCACTGACTGCTCATATTAGAAAAAAAATGCATTTTTCAAGATGGAAATTGAAAACAGTCTTTTACCAAGAGAAAGCCATCTGTCTAGCTTCTGTCCCATTCAGCTGGGAAGTCAAAGAAGAGGGGAACCTCTAGAAAGGATGCCCCTCCATCTCTCTGAAACACACCCCATCCACCCCATGGATGAATTTTTAAAGGTTGCCTTCAATTTGGTGAAAAGACTGATAATTGCCAAGTCCTTATAATTCATCGTCCATATGAATAGGAACAGGACATCTGTTAATTTCTGATTTCTCCTCAGCAGACTCTGAGCGTCTTCGGCTCAGTCCCAAAAGGTGCACCCTGCTGAGTGAAATGCCACAAATGCAAGCAGCTCCCAAGTTCAACAACCAACAGCCCGCCTGTGATAGCCTAAAAAGGGGGCCTCCGCACCAGGAGGAACTTAACCAGACAGCCCAAGATAAAAGCCTGGTACTCTCCCGGATGAAGTGCAGAGCTAGAACTGTACATGTGTACGAATGGCTATGATGGGTGAAGACCCTCCGTCCATCTAGTGTGGCACCCTGTAGACCCAACCCTGTTGGAACCAGAAAACCCTCAATAAGTTGCCAAGATGGCCATTTCCTGTTACGGGCAGGAAGACATAATTGCGATTTTCCACTGACCCAAACCCTGGTAGAAGTCTTGAGCAAAGGGCTCTCCCAGGAGGAAAATTTGCACTGCCTTGTTTGGCTCTATCCCTTTGGTCATTTGAGTGTGGGATTTCTCCAGATTTACTGGGATTTGCATCCAAACTGGGGCTGAGGAGCTGAGCACCTTCCAGGACCTTCCCTTTTTTTTGGGGGGGGGACTTTTTTTCAATGACTAGAGGAGTACCGTAGCACAAATGGGGGCTCCTGGGAATTGTGTTTGTGGGGGGAATACTTTGCCCATCCCTGCTCTATCTGCAAGCATCCTTACAACCAAAAGGCACCAGTTTCATGCGTATGCAGAATACCATGTGCTGTACAGTACTGTAAAAGTCGTGACGCGGGATTTTTATTATTCAGGGCAGGGGGAGTGGGCTTAGCTTAAAAGGTAGTTGTTTAAAAAAATGAAAAAGCTCCTTTGCTCCCTCTAGTGGCCATATACATATATTTAAAATAAAATTTTATT